GTACGAGTGCCGGCCACATCTTCCTGTTCGGTGAGTCCCCTAGCACCTCGTCAATATCGCAGGCTGACCGAGGCCCCCGCAGCATTTTCTTCCCCAAGTCTTACGACGAGACCTCCCCCGCGACCCTTCCAACCCTCTTTACCATCCATGGTGGTGGCTTTTGTATCGGCCACATCCGGGACGACGACGAGTGGAACCGCGCCTTCGCCGACTCCCAAGACATGCTTGTCATCGCCCTCAACTACTCCAAGGCCCCCGCCTACCCCTTCCCGACCGGCCTCTACGATCTCGAAGCCCTTCTCCTCGCCATTCTCGCCGACGAATCCCTCCCCATTGACCGCTCCATAGCTCCAAACTCCCGTCACCCACGAACAGCCATCCTCGGCTTTTCCGCCGGGGGAAACCTCGCCCTCAGCCTGTGCCAACTTCCGTCCATCCACAGCCACCCCTTCGCCCCGGCCGCTGTCCTCCCCCTCTACGCCTACCTTGACCTCAGCACACCCTGCGATACCAAACTCCGCAACCGCCCCTACAAATCCTCACTCTCTCCTCCACGAGGCGACGCCAAGGACGGCCTCCAATCTCTCATCCCCACCTTCGACTGGGCCTACATCCCCTACGACCAAGACCTCCGCGATCCGCTCCTCTCCCCTTACTTCGCCGCTCGCGAGAATCTCCCCCCGAACGTCTGCGTCGTCGCCACAGAGCTGGATCTCCTCGCCCACGAGTCCTGGCGGTTTGCGTGCCGTCTCGCGAAGGAGGGTACAAATTCGGAGGCGTATTCCGTGCCCGATGAAAAGAGCAGGGATCTTAAGGAGAGAGTGTGTGGCTCGCAAGCGGTGAGGTCTCGGCCGGGGAGGATAGAGGTGACAGATAGGAAGGGGGAGGCGGATAGGAGGTTTGGGTTTGAGGAGAGATGGGAAGGGGGAGGGGTGAAGTGGCTGTTGGTGCCGGATGCGTTGCATGCGTTTGACAATAAGCATATTAGGGAGCTGATGGGTGGGGAGGAGACGGTGGATGATGCGGAGAGGAAGATGGTGGAGGTGATGGGGATTTTGGGTGGTTGGTTGAGAGGTGTTTGGGGGGTGAATGCAGGGTGAGGAGAGGTGGGAGAGGGTGCTGGTCGTTGTTATTAAGGTTGGTCTCGTTGCCGCATCATAACACACCGCAATTTTGGCCCTCGTCGAGGGGTGAGGTGGTCAGGTGATCGGTCTGACGATCAGGCTATCTTTTCTCACTGCAAATTTGGCCCTCATGGAGGGATGACCTGGTGGACTGTGAGCGGCGGACTGCGGCTGCGGTTTCGCCATAGGTTTCTAAGCCACCTAAATCCAGCCTATCTGCACGAACTAACTTAGATTGGGTTGTGAATTGCGCCCGTCACATCACTGCAATTTCAGCCCCCAGAGAGGGCTTTTGCAGCTAGGCATCAGGCTCCCAGACCTGGTCACATTTTTCCGGGTTGCAACAGAACATGATGTTTGCCAGATTAGAATCATAAAGCAGATCTTGCTTTGACCTGGGTTGTGCCAAACTTCCAAGAGCTTGACAATAGGCTCGCACATCAGCCTCTTTGGGCGGTTGGGATCCTCCAGGTTGTGGGCTGGAACGGTTTCCCACAAATCTGATTGGCCCAGCAGTAATCGACTGTGACGGTGCATATAGATGCCGCAGAACATGTGATCTGGAATGCTGAGCGAAGCTTAATGGATATTCAACACGGCACTGGTTCCATCTCAGGTGGAAGATTCAGCTTCTCATGAATAGCCCAGTCGAGTCGATACGAGAGACTCTGCTCCACACTTTGGCGAGATGGCCGCCGTAGAGTACCTCGCTGCATCACTTTTCCAACTTAACACCTCGCTCTGTTAGACGTGAGACTTAAGTTCTCGTGTGACGGGCAATGTAGGTATGATGGCGGAGGAAGGTAACCTCTCCCTGGCAGGACCAAAAGCAACAAATCTCGTTGCACTATCACTCGTGGTGTTCATGCTGTAGAACATGCAGTCTTTTGAGTTGATCGAGTTTAGATGACCACCGTTGGTCAAGTCGAGTTGCGCCCCGCCCCCATACCTCCCAGCGTGAGCAGCGGGTCCAATCGCATCTTCACAACATGCACATCAAGTTTCATCTCCGGAAACGCAGGAAACTCACTGCAATGTTGGCCCCGGCTGAAGAATAGTGTTTGTGCAGATTTCAGCTGTTAACATATAAACCGGGCAACCGACTCATTGCAACCTTGCCCTCGCAGGGCTCATGCAAACCATCGGCTTCCTGGCGGTGATTGGCTATCCAGCGTCCATCGAGAACCCGTCCTGCATCTCAGAGAGAGTGAGAAGCATGAGTCAATTGCATCTTCTGCTCACTCACTGCAATTTTGGCCCCAGCGGAGGGTTCAAATCACCTCTCTCAGTCAACCCCAACCCTCTTGTGACCAATTCCAGAGTACCGGCACCCGCCAACTCAAGTTGACTCCACACCGTAACCACCTACGCAACGCAAAAAGAAATGAATGACGCAAACGTCAAAAATAAATCCCCTCGACCGGAATCGAGCCGGTGACCTTTCGGTATATGAATTAGACATTTACAGCCGAACGTGATAGCCAACTACACCACAAGGGGTTTTGGTTTGTTGATACTGAACGTGGAAATGCCGATTCATGATTCGCCGTGGTGCGGATAGAAGGTGAGAGAAGTGAAGGAATGGCTGAGAGGTCTTGGAGAGGGGGTGAATGAAGGAATCAAACATCGCGCTGGTAGGCTGATATGAACGCAAACTACCTTCCCATATTGACAGCCCTGATTAGGGCGCTGCCACTGCGGTTCGATGATATGAAGAGTTGTAGATTTGAAGAGCGATATATATCATGATATAGGAAACCCGACAGCGTCGTTGCAAGACAAACATTACCTTTCCTCAACGTCAATGTAAACCAAAAGACTGTCCAGAAACCAACGAGTCCTAACAAACTCCCGTGCTATACAAAATCTTCTCGCTGGCAAACAAAACCGCCTCAAACAAACGGACCAACACCAGCGCCACCCAACCACATCACACCCCCCATCAAAGACTCTCCCCCTCCAGCTCCTTCTCCGTCCACTCCCACAACCTCCTCGCCAACTCCTCACTCCCCGCATCCTTCGCAGGCTTCGTCAGCTGTCCCACAGGCGTATAATACGCTCCACTCTTGACATCGGCGACACAAGCCCACAGCTGACACCTCGCCCCCTCCTCGACGCTCACGGCAAACAAGAAGGAATACAGCGCCACAAACGGCCTCGCAATCGCATGGGCTCCATGAAACGGCGCCGTCAAGTTCGTCGCCACGCCCCCCGGGTGCACCGACACCGTCTTGATCTGCGGATAGCGCCGTGCCATTTCGGCTGCGAAGAGGATATTCGCGCTTTTGCTCTGCCCGTAGCGCGTGGTGGTGTACATGTTTTCCTGAGTGGTTTTGAGCGAGTCAAAGATGATTCCGCCGCGGGGAAGCATGCGGTGGGCCTCGGAGGAGAGGACGACGACGCGGACGTCGGAAGAGGGGAGGGCGGCGGTTTTGAGGAGCAGGGGGAGGAGAAGCTTGGTGAGCAGGGCGTGGCCCATGTGGTTTGTGCCAAACTGGAGCTCGTAGCCTGAGGCTGTGAGGCCGGCCGGGGTGGCCATGATGCCGGCGTTGAGGAGGAGGATGTCGAGGCGGGTGGAGCCGGCGAGGACCTTGGCGGCGGCGGACTTGACGGAGGGGAAGGAGGCGAGGTCGAGGTCGAGGGGGAGGATTTTGGTGGTGGTGGTGGAGGGGAGGGATTTGAGGATGTCGTCGATGGCGGATTGGGCGCGGGCTTCACCGCGGGCGGCGAGCCAGATGAGGTCGGGCTCGTGTTTGGCGAGCTCGAGGACGGATTGCTTGCCGAGGCCTGAGTTGCCGCCAGTGACGAGGATGGTTTTTCCTTTGAGAGAGGGGATATCGGTTTCTGGGTTGAACCGGTTGCCCACCGGGATGTAGCTGAGCAGTGAGAGGCCCATCTTGATGAGTGAGTGAATTGGTGTCTGGGTTGAGTTGAATGGGGAAGCCCGAGGGTTTGCTGCGCGGGTCGCGATGGCCTTTTTAAGCTTGGCGTTCTGAGTGGTATTTTTGTATGGTGAGCAGAAATGGTTGTCTGTTATCGCTGCGAATGTCTCCGGGGTGTGGTCACCGAGGGTGTCGTGACGCCGAGGAGATTGCGGTCGGGACGCTTGACGCAATGACGATAAATGCAGGCACAAAGGGGGCTAACCGGTTCAGGTTCCACAGAGGACCCTAACCCTTGTTTGCAAACTCTCCGACATTGTCCCGCTCCCGATTTGGACGTCGCTGATTGGCGCATTTCGCCGTATTCCGTCTCTCGCATTCCACATTCGGTTGCGATCTTGCCTCCTAGACCCTATTTCCACAGTTTCCCTGGGCAAGCGACTTTGCGTGCGCAAGTACTACTGTAATGCTTAAGATCCGGAATATCCGTGTCGAGCTACTGACCCTGGAAAACAGTTGGCCCGACTATCGCCATTCGAGCTTCAGTGGTCAACGTCCTGCCGGCTTGTCGCACCTGGAGGTCGCAATCATGCTGACATGCAGCCCCTTTTCCTTGTGTAAATGTCAACAAACCGAAAGGATCGTGGTTAGTAATCCAATGTTCACTAATAAAACTCAACCGAGAATTCAAAACTCTTTCAATATTTGGAACAGTTCGTCTTAGAGCATCAGTCTACCGCGCACCCCAGATCTCAAATATCCATCTGCCTTGACAAATTCGAAAGGCCGGGTGTTCAAACGTCTCCGAGTTCGGTGTCGATCCGAGCCCAGCGACCCCGAAGTGAGCCCTTTTGAGTCAACATCGATTCTCAGCTGGAAACCTTGCACCATCTCGACAAACAAGGATCCAGCTACATCCAAAAAGAATGCCCACAACCAGGTTTGAATTCTTGGCGCCTGGCTCCACCCGCGAGGAGACCTGAGCAAAATTATGAGGTCGTACCCGGAATCGAACCGGGGTTACCGGAAAGTCCAGAAGAACTGAATCAGAATCCGATGTGATAACCGCTACACTATACAACCCGTGTGGTGTTTGATGATGTCAGGGGTCACTGGAGTCGTTCATAATGCGTAAGCACAAGACAGAAAACTAACATTTTGAGCAGACCCCCTTTTCTTCTTTACAGAAGTCTATTCGATTACAATATTCTATTCTATTTCTACTTGGTATCATCTCTGCACAATCGTCGTCATCATCCTATCAACAACACCAATTCCAGCTCGGCGTCGCCCCTTCCGTCTCCTGATATCCAACCAGCAAGGTAATGTTTTCCTCTCCTCCCTAATCCCAAACGCTCCCCCGACTCCACTTCCCCCTCCTCCTAATCCTCTTCCCAAACACATAAAACACAAACGGCACCGGCACCAGCAGCACCGCGAAACCCGCCGGTATCGACGACCCCGGCCCGACCCCCAAATTCCCATACATCGGCCCAATCACCAGCGGAAACGCGCACGCAAAGCACGACCTCAAAAACGTATTCGCCGCCACCGCCGAAGCAGCGTACATCTGAAACGTGTCCACCAGGTAATTCAGCGCAGCCTGGAAGATGGTGAAGAAGCCTGTACCCAAGAGTACGAGGCCGATGCAAGGGACGATCCAGTGGATGGAAGGGGAGGAGGTCCATCCTGTGAGGAACTGGCCGGAGGCGAAGAGCACGGAGCCGAGCATCATGGGCGGCAGGCGACGTTCGGGGACGGGCCGGTTACCGGAGGCGTGGTAGACCTTGTTGTAGAGGAGCTGGTTGTAAATGTTTAGGGCGCAGCCGAGGACGGCTCCGAGGAGGATGCAGAGGAAGGGGAGGGTGGATACCAGGTCGGACCAGCCGCGGACGTCGTGGAAGATGAAGGGGATGGCGCCGAGCTGCATGTAGAGGATGCCGTAGCAAAAGGAGGCATAAAGGGCGATGAGGAAGCAGATGGGGGTGGCGAGGAGCTGGACGGGGCGCAGGAGGAACTTGTCGGCGAGATCGGAGAGGGAGACGTCCCATTCTTCGTGCTTGGCGTGGAGGGCCCAGTTGCCGGTGGTGATGCGGAGGTGGCGGGCTTTGTGAACGAGGAGCTGGGGCGGGTAGGTCTCGTCGACGAAGAGGAGAGCTAGGAGGAGGAAGAAGGCCTGGAGGATGCCGCTGAGGTAGAGGGTCCAGCGCCAGCCGAGATGAGGGTCGATGACGAGGGCGGTGGACGCGATCGGGCCGACAAGAGGCCCGCCGACAACGGCCATGGCATAGCCGGCGATGGCGTAGCCGCGTTGAGCGGGGGAAAAGAGATCGCCCAGGACGCCGCCGGTGTTGGTAACGGGGGCGGAAGCGAAAAAAGCGCCGAAGAAGCGGGTGATCATGAGGGTCTGGAAGTCTTTGGCGGTGGCGCTGCCGAAGCTGAAGCAGATGGCGACGAACATGGGGGCAAAGACGGCAAGGCGGCGGCCGAAGACTTCGCTGAGAGGGGCCCAGAGCAGGGGCCCGATGCCGAAGCCGATGAGGAATAGGGAGGTGCCGAGGATGGAGACTTGGTTCCCGACGTTGAACTCGGCAGCAATTTGGGCGGTTCCGGGGGAGTAACACGCAGAGGCCCATGACGCGGTCATGGTGACGAAGCCATACAGGCCGGTGGTGACGACCTTTTTGCGGAGGGGCCAGTTCATCGGACGGTACAGGTCGTCTGGCCCATCGAACTCAACAAGATCTTCCTTGGTGGTGCGGATGTGGGATAAGGGGTGGGTGAACCGGTAGGTGTCGGCAGGCCGGGAGCGGAGGCGGGAGAGCACCGTGTCACGCCGGGAGAGGGTCGGCTGGAGTTGCAGTCTGCCGGATGTGGTGGCGGTGCCGGAGCTGGGCGTTACACTGGCTCGGCTGCGGGTGCGGGACAAGCGCACCTCATGGCTGCTGGGCCGGAAACCATCATGATCTTCATCCTCGCTGTCGGTGTCTTGCTCAGTGGTGTCGAGATCACTGAAATCCTGGGGCTTGGACTTGGGCTCGTGTTCAAAGCTTTCGTCTGCTTTTTCGTCTGCAAGGCTGGGCATGGTCGTGTGATTCCAAGTGTAACCGTGCAGGGCATTGGTTGTGAGTGGCTGATTGTGGCCTATGACAACACCCGTGGTGAAACATGGCGCTCCGTCTCTCTTTTAATGTCGGGCCCGGTGAAGGTGCCCGCCTCCGTCTCCGGGTGCGCCAGTGGCGGGATGCGCTCGGGAATAGGACCAAGCGCGACGTCATCGGTGTGATCGGGGGAAGAGATCACTGGGCAAACTGGGGCACCAATTGTAGCGGACCAAAAAAGACAAGAATACGCACTGCAAAACCCCTTATGGGCCGTTCTCGGAAGAATTGCTCGCAAAGGAACAGGAGTACTGCTGCAAGTTCGTCTAAGCTTTCGCGTTTGCAGTGTTTGGAAAGGCGCGAGTGCAGCCTCTCCGGGATCGGGCCGGGATGGCGGGTGACTACGGAGGCTGACCGGGCCGCTTCGGCACCGATTCGGCAGCGTATTCTGACAAAGCACACAAGCGGAAACTCGGAGATAAAGCAACGCTAGTGTTCAATTCCTACCCGTAGGTCTAACTGCAAACTAACAACACTTGGTAGAATCGAAAATGCATCGCAACTTCACCCGAATGCGGCTCCTGCGGTCCCTGACCATTCCACCCCCTTATCATCGATCCACCCGCACAGCCAGGCCGGGTGATGTCTCATGAGCGCGTATTGAGACCTTACTCTGAGGAGTCAGGCAACGGGCTCTCGGGGTCAGGCAAAGGACTCAAGGGAGGCAAGAGAGGGCTGTCGCCGCCCCCCATCCTCACAATGCCCTTGTTCTTGTTGATGCTCATAGGAGCGGGAAGTTCATCCTCGAACACAATGCCATACCTCTTCGTGCACGAACCGTGGGAGACCTCCGCATCGGGTCCGGGCTCGCCGTCCGGGTCTGGCTTCGGAGTGGAGTCCGGATCTGGAACCGGTCCGTCGGGCTTAGGGATCGGGACAGGGTCCAAGGAGACAATGCCACAAGGCTTCCCGTGAGACTCGCCGTGTCTCTTGGGCTTCGGCTTCGGGGGCGGGGTCTTGGGTGGTGTAGGGGGGTTGACTTGAACCGGACGAGTCGTGGGCTTTCCGATAGTCTCGTTTTGATCTTGAACTGTGGGGCTTCCCAAATCACTGGTTTTGGGATCGTGAAGTCTCATCAGCCCATCCCCCGGGCTCTCAGAGCCGGGAGATGGCTCGGGGGAGGGTGTTTCCTCCCTGTCCGGTATCTCGTTCATCTCCGTGAAGAGGCTAACGTTTTGCTGGCTGGGCTTGCGAAACACGGGCTGATGGACGTGATAATGGCAATGGCCGATGTTGGCTTGATCGATGGTGAGGACCTCCATGGTTTTGGTGGTTGTGGGGATGTTGGGAGGTGTCGTTGGTCGAGTGGCGGCTTGTAAAGTGGAAGGGAAAGTCTTGAGGCTTTCGTGAGGTTGTCGAGGTGTTCAGTGTGAGGGTTGTAGAAGTCGATGGTGATGATGAGAAGAGGAGAGGATTCGGGGGTGCGAGGAAGCCTGATTATATACCCAGAATTGCCCTCGGCGCTTCTCCCCCGGTGTGTCATGAGCGTCTGCCATCACCGGGCCCCGGAGAGCTCCTATTCTTTGATGCGATGTTAGTATTGAGAATGTGCGCTAGGTCCGCGAAATCCATCTTTGGTATGCCTCAGAGTTGTCTTGGAAATGACGCGATGAGCAATTTCCAAATCAGGGCTGACGTATCTCTGTGCTTGATGCTTATCGCGGCTGATCTCGTGTCTTGTCCGTGTTTGCCTTCTTCTGCCTCTCAGGTGTGACACGATGTCGGGAACAGGATGAACACTTAACAGCCAGCAATCTCGATTTCAGTCGCGCAACCCAGAAACTAGTGTTGCAATGACTGGGTATAGAGACTCTGCTGCCAGAGTGTCAAGTTCAGGGCGCAAGGGCATTCCCTCGAGACGACAGTATCAAATCTGACTCACAATCAACAGCTGATGCCCACCTTGCGCAGCAACGAAAAGATAGAGATGTGTGAGATTAAAATAAATCGAAACCACCATGTGCGGGAGATAGGGGTTGTGTTTCCAGGTCTTCTCATCCTTGAGGCAAGTGTGGAGTGCAAAAATCACAAAACTTGCATACCAGGCCAGGAAGGAGCGGTGGAAGACTTGGAAGTTTGTAGTGCCCCCACTCGCCTCCCTCTTTCGCAATATTTCACAGCAGAAGACAGACCCAAGATTCTCGCTCCAGCAAGTAGGTCCCGCGCTAGCACATCCACATACATGGACCTCAATCGCTTCCCCCATCGTCACACAACTCCTCGAATTCGGACTGCCACCCGTGAAGGTGAAATCAACCTGTATTGGAACCCACACAACTCAGGCCCCTATGATTGATGGGTTATCTTCTAATAACGCTGTATCGCTCAGCGAAATGAACGAAACGAACCAAGCAACGCAACGCCAAACCGCCCTCTCTCAACACCATGAACTTGAATGGCGCTTCCCGCAACTCACCCTCCAAGTCCCCAGGACCAAACTCATTCTTGGACACCTTCCACTTGCTCCTCCATAGTGGGCGCAAACCATCATCGGAGCCTGAGCAAACCCAAACGGTGCAGCTCCATGCATTCTGCTCCACGTTTCGAATGCCCAGAGAGAAGGAAGAAGCCCAGTGCCGTTGCCGGACTCGCTACTAGTATCCGCCTTGGGCTCCGGGATCTGATCGGGGTTTTTATCGGCGCTGCTAGCGTTGCGGCTGGAGGGCGAGGTGGGTGTCGCGGGGAGAACGGGCTTGAGGGGATTCTTGGGGTCGTCTACCGAAAGTCGAACGGGCTTGACAAGATTGTGGAGGAAGTTGCTGGCCGCGAAGAAAGCCTTCATGATCGTTTGCATGATGCTGGCACTGATGTAGAGGCAATGGTTTTGAATGTTGGAGATTGTGGGAAGAGGATTGTGAGACGTAGAGTAGAAAGCCAAGGCTGGACGAGATATGTGGATGTCGAAGCTGTGTGACGCTTGGT